GATCAATAGGGTGTAAGGAAGTTATATGGTATGTCTGTAAAATGAGTAAAAAGAGGCAAACAAAACATCATTTCTATTTGTTATCTCCATTGAAAATAACTTAATGAATTGTACATTATCTGTCAATTACAACAATAAAGAATCGAATTTTCAAAAAAAAAAAATTAATTAAAAAAAAAAAGTATCCTGCAAGAGGACGTGGCACAATAAATTACACCAAACTAACAAAATAAAATAAAAAGTCCAATTGTCCTGCCAACTATCTATACTATATTCTGATGAACAATTTTCCACTAATGAGAAATAGTATGCAATCAATCTTCTAATGAACACACATGAATGTGGATGATTATCCTTCACAAATTATACCAATCAATGATCACGTAAATCTCCGAGAGGGTGGGGGGCCATAACTTACCGTTACTGGCGAAATCCACGCAGAAAGATTCGATATTTAGAAATTCTCCGAACGAATCAACTCACTTGTTCCCCGATCAAATCGAGACCAACAATGAGAAAAGTGACACCTTGAAATAAGAGGAAATAAAAGTGAATTCCCTGAGCAGATAGCAAACTTCTAACCGAAGCAGTCAACAAAATAAACGAAAGAGCAAGCTCTTTCCTGTACAAACGGTTTCTCTTCTTCTTCCCCATTTTCTTGTTCATTTCCAGCTTGTTAAGCTCAGCCAATCCCGATTCTGATGAAGATTTGTGGACCCCACTTTCCATGAGAGGGGTCGATTCGTTTCCCATAATGGCAACTAAATCTGCCTCGGATGACCTGCCCAATTTCTTGGTGACTATCCATTCGTAAGAACTTCCTAATTGAAAGAGACCTGATATCATAGCATTGAATTTGGTGACAGACATTGTGTTTTCGAAGAGGAGATACGGGACTATAAATGGGAATGATTGAGGAGATGGAAGGATGTTGAGTATAGAGACGAGTCCGGGTATGTAACAGACAACCCAAAACGGGAGTTGAGCTTCGGGCATGAACATTGTCAGTGGGAGAATAATGCAGAATAGCGTGAAGGAGTAGAATGGTAGGATTAGCTTTCGGAGGAGGAAGAAGAGGAAAATCAAGTTTGCTTTCTTGAAGACACTCACCTGAAAAATGTCGAATAGCGTGAGTTAAGATTAAGATACTTTAGTGAGACTTAAGATTAAGATTTCCGTCCTTTTATAACATCCGAAAAAATTAAGATGTCTGTCCTTTTATAACATTATAGTATAAATGGCTACATCTATTTCATCTCTGCTCCTTATATTCCAATATGCATGCTTCAGTTCGTCAAACAACTAGGCTGGATACAATCCAGATTCTGACCGTCAAATGTACAGGCAAAATGCATTTTACGAACCTTAGAATGCAGTATGTCATAAAAACACAGGCGGAATAACTGCATGGGTCCTGAGTGCCAGCGATGCTGCTGCTTTTTGTACGCTTCATAAGACTCAGGAAGTTCACATAGGCACTGTGGAAAGATAAGTCCCCTTATTACCACATGGTTATAACGCATAGAGGACTATATATATTCATGAATTGTTTCATAGTTTACGAACCTTAACATCATTTAGATAAATGAATTTCCAGCCACACAAGTGAGCACGAACAGCAATATCCATGTCTTCAACGGTTGTCCTCTCCAACCAGCCGCCACAGTCTTCTAAGGCTTTGATTCTCCAAACACCAGCAGTTCCGTTAAAGCCAAAAAAGTTGATGAACCACCCATTGACTTGTTGCTCAACCTCAAAATGGAAAGCCAGATTTATGTTCTGCAATCGTGTAAGCAGATTTTCTTCCTTGTTGACAAAAGCCCACCTGGTTTGCACTAGTGCAAGGTCGTCTTTTCCCTTCAAAAAACACGAGCTATTTAGTAACCACGCAACATTATTTTTCTTCAGCCTACTAATGATTTTTTTTTACCAGCTATGTTAGAAATGGTCATACAAGAAATACGTATCAATATAAAAAATATATATTATTTATATATCCATTTCTTAGATCACTTCAACGACTGATTACCTTAAAGTAAGGGACGGTGCTCTTCAGAAAATCTGGCGCTGGCTGGAAATCCGCATCAAAGATGGCTACAAACTCATAATTTTTCACGTATTCACAATTCATTGCAGATTTAAGGTTCCCTGCTTTATAGCCTGTGCGAATAAGACGATGTCGATAAATGATGTGCACACCTCTCTGCTGCCATTTATGCACTTCTGCTTTAATAAGATTTTGAACATCTGCATCATCAGAATCATCTAATATTTGTACAAGCATTCTCTCTCTTGGCCAATCCTGGACACATACAGCTGCAATGGATTGCTGGTATACCTGAGAATATAAGGGGAGAAAAATCACTAAGAACATAAAATTGGAAAAAAATGCAACCTCAATTCAAATTTCATCCTTTTTTCCTCCTTTTTGTCACTTATCCTTTTAGTCAGAATAGAATCAGCGGGTTCAGTTCAGATGCTTGTCTAAAACAAGTTGAAATATCTATGTACTCATATTTAAGCGCAACAATCAAGTTATGTTTAAAGATAAACATGATATTCAAAAGAGCGCAATAAATATTGCAAGTATGTCGATAGAATATATAAACTTGTACAACTTTTCCATGAATAGTGGGCTTTTATAATCTTTATATATACATATATGTTTTCTTGTTTAGAATTTAGTGTGCAGTGAGATTAGTTATGACCTGAAATGGACCAAAAAGGTGATTGAGAATTAAAGTTTCTGAACAGAAGTGTTTCTACAGATAAAATGAGATCAGCAGAATATGATATGATTTGAACATTAAGTGTGCAGAAAGTAAACTAACGAAAAAGTTTTGATCAAATAGGAGGAAACAATCAAAATCGAGAGAAATGATATTGAGGTTGTCCGTTTGCTATCGAGCCTAAATACTCTATTTAGGGCCTTCTCTTTTTTAGAGGGAATATGCTAAAATATGCTAAAATATTTCTTGATAGTATGTAAGCTCCCTTTGCATAAATAACAGTTAAAGGAAAAAAGAAGTACGGGCTCCTTAAAGAGTATTAAACCGATATACACTTTATAATGTATTATGACAGAAAATTATCCGTAAGTTGCATACGTAAAACAAATAGCAAGATTTATATTACGTTTACAAGAAGCATGTCAACAACGACCACACATCCCATGCACAAAAATCCAAGGACCAATTAATAAGCAATCTGTTTTATCTTATCGAACATCTAGTCTGGTAATAACAGAATACAAAAATAATACGGCAGCAAATCCAGCAACAATCACGTAGTACATTATCTGTGTTAAACTTCCTATCTAACACAAAATCATTGAACATATAGATTTCGCTAAAGTTATTCGTATATTACCTATTACTCATGTATAGTAACCCCAATCTCCTCAAGGCTCTAAACTTTTCATCGACTCTCGATAAGGATGTAATAAGCAATTACCTATTCAGTTAATTAAGTGCTAAGATACATTCCATATAAAAACAAACTAATTTACTTCAATTAATAACTCTACTTTCTCCTCAACAAGCCCAAAATACAGTAAAAATTCTCAGTAGGGCTTTGAAAACCTACATCTTCTTACCTCCCTCTCGTTGCACATAGGTATTTGCACCATCACCATCGGATAATAATCGGCGTTCAAAGCCCCATTCTCGGCGTCCTGCTTGTAATCCATCTCAGCCACAGGTCTCAAACCCCTAATTTTAATATAAAAACAACCGAGCACCAAAACCAATCGATCTACAGACTGTATGAGGAACAAAACAATGCACGCATTCGTCAAGCTCTGCAGCAGCGGCCCCAAGTAATTCACCCTAATTTCTAACCATTTCGCGTAGACATACTTCACTGACATCTCCACCTCCGATTCCAGGGTGGGAGGACTAAAATGCCATCCCCTGAAGTAGGCAACGAGCTCGATAGAAAGAAGGAAAACACTCAATATCAGGAACAATTTGATGATCCTGTAGAACTTCGATTCCGAGCGGGGCCCCGATGGGGAGGTGGCGATGCGGCGGTTCGCGGTGCGGAGGAGGGTGATGAATCCGTTGGTGACGAAAGCTACCGAGTTTGCGATTTTGTGGAGCTTGAGGAGGTAAATCCACGAGAGCTGCCGCGCACTGCGCGAGCGGTCCTTCTCCGCCGCCGCGGCCGCCGACGTGATAGGTGAGGCCGGTGTGTGGATGTTGACGGTCAACAATCTGAAATCCTCGGAGGCGGAGGAGGAGGAGGATAAGTGGTGGTGGTGGTGGTCGTCGGCAGGGTCCTTGGATCGTTGCTTGTTCCACCATTCCTGAAACTCGTAGTTAGGTGGACGAGACATGTAGATAGATACAGGGGAGCGTGTACGTATAGAGCGGCGGTGGCGGGATCTGTGTAAGGTGGAATCAATGGCGGATCATTGCACGCAGTGAGCGTGCTGTGTGTGTGTATTGGATCCGGAGAAAAGGGAAGGAGAGAACTGTGAAGAGGTAAAAAGCATCTTAATTTAACAAACTTCGAATTTCGAGATTTTGTTTTTCTGTTTTTTTTTTTTTTTTTTTTTTTTTTACTCTTTTTTTTCCTTTCACAAACACTACAGGATGTGGGCCCACAGTTGACGTGTATTATTACTATTTTAATTAGTTAAATTCAATATGAGTTATTTAATATTCCAAACATATTTAATTAATTAATATAATCATTTATGAATTAAAATTATTTCAAGAATTTAACACTGGAGATGGATAAATTAAATTAAATTAGCTCTTGAAGAGGGAGATTGTGTCGGTGACAAAATAGATGGGATTCATTTTGACATTTATTTCATCATATTAAGGTGTAAAATATTTTCATTATTTTTCATAAAAATAAAATTATGTTTTAATTAGTTATATATTTAGGTTTCATATACTTCTATAAAATAATAATTTACTTCTATAGAAGTAATTTTAAAAAATAAACAACAATGCCATCTGCAATTTCAAAAGTAGATTTGATCTCTCAATATTCAATAATTACTACACCAAGAATAGCAAAATAATTTTGTATACTTTTATTTTTATTTTCCTAAAATTGTCATTCACAAGAGGTTATACTTCACTATCATCAAATTTAGACACATTTCCAAAACAAATAAATAATCTTATTTTCATATGATTCCTTCTCATATTTTTCCTATTTATATATATATATATATATAGTTTGATTTTTAATTTTTAATTTTTTATCTTTTTAATATTATTGAGGTATTTGTGTAAGAAAGAAGAGCAGAGCAAAAACTGTAAGTAGCGACCGTTGAGGGACACGCGCGGCGAATGTTGGAAATTGGTAGTTGGGATTGTGGGAGCAGATCATGTGATGTGCGATCAATAAGGACCCCGACATATGTCCACGCGCCATTTGTCTTAAAGTGAGCTGCACGAACTTCATCTTGTTTTGTTGTCTTTTTAGACTTTAGCCCCTTATTTTTCTTCCTTTGACATTTTCAATACCTTTATTCATTTGGGCCCCTTTTATTATTAATAAATCATGTGGACTCATACTAGACTAGACCAATGCTATTATTACGCCCATTGGTTTCAATTTTATTGGGCTTGATCTCTTGGACCATATAAATTTATTTTCAGCTTCCTATGGAAATTTGTATGTATTATTTCGTAATATATTAATTAAAATCAATAAGTATTCTCCCACACTTATAGTTTAGATTATGAATTATCACCTCTATATTTGTATCAAAACACTAAAAATGTTCAATTATAAAAATACTTAGTCCCCTTTTGTTCTGGTGTACAGTCCATAAATCCAATACGGTGGCGACTCCAATTGAAAATTAGCACCAATCAACAACGACGCAAACTCAAAAACGCCCTAGACCTACGTAATGCACACATTAAGATCACTCATCAACATATGCATCGGTAATCAGTCAAATGGAACACTCTCACACTCAGAGACTCAATTACTCACATAAGGAGATTGAAAGAAGAAAACTCAGAGATGCGTATAGATTAGTGTTACATTTATCCCTTTCTCTAAGGGCAGTATAACTAGGTACATGATGATGTATAACAATGACCTATAATAAATATAGTCGAAGAGATGAATTGGGTCACTGATCACGTGCTAGATAGCTTTGAGATACCTTAATAACTTGGAGATTCTTACGAAAAAAGTAAACGTGGACTAAGTCGGGGTTGATCCGGCGGAAGCCCTTCCGATGCTTAAGTTAGATATGTGGATCGTGAAATAATTGAGAGAATTATAACGATTGGATTGCTCGAGTAAAAATAACGTACCTTCAATTGATGTATTAAGTTCTATTTATAGTTATTTAATTAATCGATCTCAATTTATCGGGCCCTCAAACCTTCTTTGAAGGAGATTAGGCTTTTTGTAGTATTAACTTCTAAATTGGGCATGTGACCCAATAAATAAATAAATCGTAGGTCCATTGGACTTCACCAATAGACATATCAGTACATAACCAATTGTAAGTCTAACCATGTATTTTGAAGACTCTACAAAGAGTTGTCCGGAAAAAGACAAGCTGATGACGGAAGTACTGTTCAAAGATGGAAGGAGAAAGAAGGAAAGAGAAGCGGCGCATTCCAATCCTGAGAGCAGTGTTGAGAGGAGAGAGTAAAAGTTTGAGAAGGAGGATGGCCACAATTAAAGGAAGTAATCCATACGATTAAGATCAAGAGTTCCTAGTGGTTCGGGCCTAAGTGTGAGCACAAGTTCTTGGAGTTGGGCCTGCCGAAAAATCATCAAGTTTGGGCCCAATCATAAACAAGTCCATATATAATATATGCATGCTTCCATTGGGAAGAAATGCAGCAAATAATTATATATATTGCTTTATAAACCCTTGTAGCTGATTGAAGCAGAAGGATGAGGCCTTAAGATGGTACCTAATTATGAATCAAAGTTTCGGGGACCGTTCATCTCCGTGCGCGTGTTTATTTAATATTTACCGTAAACTTTGCTTCTTTTTTTTTTTTCCTAAATACAAAATCGACACCTAGGTGTGTTGTGGGGATCAAATTCCTCCCCACAATTTTGACTGCTCATCTTATCTTCTTTAGGTGAAAACTATGGGTGAATTTTTATTTATTTATTTTTTAATTTAATTTTAATTTGCCAGAAGTGGGCAAGCAGAAGAAATGTGACAGGGAAAAAATGACATTTGAACAAACAAAAGAAGATGATCAAAGTGTGGATGAAAGAGTTTCCGTGTTCTAATCATGTTAATCATGCCTTTGCGATCGATGCGGGAAAAACAAAACATCCGATCCAACGGTCGTAAACCCATGATTGCTATATGTAAGAGTAATGGTTTAATCAAATGATACCAACTGCCCTTGCCCTACATAGTACTTGTTTCTTTTTCCTCTTCTCTATTAAAAATTGAAATAAAAAAAAAAAGTATATATAATTTAGATCGGAGTTATGAAGCGTACGTAGGTGGGATTTTTATACTATCTCGTCTTCGATTTCGCCTATTGTACTTGCGTTATATTTAGTGGCAGAGGGTCATGTAGAGGGTGTTGTAGATGCTACACTCGTTGAAATACATCGGATAATTCTTCACCATTCTACACCATTTCTTAGCCATGTTCGATATAATGTTGATTATTATTTTGCTAATTTCCGAAGCCTTTTGTTTAATTGGTTGAAAATTAGATCAATTACGACAATTTAGCAACATCGATCGTGTTTCCTTTTTCCTTTTTATCATCATTAAAAAAAAGAAAAACTTAAATAAATTAATTAATTATATAGTATATGATATATAAATAAATATGATAAATAAAAATATCATATGAAATTTCAAGATTGATATAAAAACTTTATCATATATCCGGATCCCTAATTTTTTTTATATTTTCGGCCTAGGCCCCTCCTATATAATAATCATATATAAATATATATAAATGCTCCAAAATTAAAGAATGCGTTAGATGTGTTGGTAAACCAGTTGGGATGAAGATCATATGCATATAGTTAAACAAAAAGCAATTTATTAATTATTTGGTAGTTATTAATAAAAATTTAATTGATCTTTAAATGAGGCTAAAATATAACCACCTAAATAAGAAAAGAAAATTTAAATCGCTTTGATTAAATGTACGTAAATGTGAGGCCTGCCCTAATTTATTTCCCATAATGGTTGTACATTTTCTGCATGGTTCTATGAAAGCTATTTTTCTCTGTATCCTTGGATATTTTTTTATATTCATTAATTCATATAGTTTATGTTGCTATTTTTCAGTTGTTACATTCACAAGTGGAAATCGAACATATCGAATTTGGAACTAATCCTTTTTCGAAAACAATCCATTTTTTTTTATTAATCTTATTATAAAAAAATTGATTGTAAAAAATTGCAAGTGAAAAACTGATTCCGATTTCTCTAAAATAGTCAGACAATTCAAAACCGAAAATCAAGGATCAGAATCGGCATAAATCGAAAATTTCGTTCAAATTTAATTTCATTTATAATATATATAAGTTTACCACAAAACATAACTTCCACCAAAAAGCAAAAAAGTAGGAGAAAAATTATAGTAAAAATTTAATGGGGGCATCTTATGCTTTAAATTAATCTTTACTAGTGCTTTAGATAGTTAGATTCATGAACAATGTAGGGATATTAATTATTAATTACTCATTAATGTTTCTAATTATTCTCATAAATTAATATCACTTGATAATTCAAATTAAGTATAACAATGACTCAATCTTCTTAATTATTTTGATATGGAAGTTGAGTTTAACAATAATTTATATCTTATATATATATATATATATATATATATATATATTAAAGTTCATGGCTTTATTTTTCCAATTACTTTGTATTTTAAAATATATTTAATTCATAAAAAAAAGGATATTCTTACTGCAGATAATAGTGTCTCAATCACTACTTTAGAAGTGTCAGAAATAATTAAAACTTTTAATGCAGTTTAATTCAGAGATTTATATTAATAAATTACAATCTGCCGACATTTTGTCGCATTTAAGTAGATTAATAATTAGATAAATGGTAATGAGAGAGGAACTGCATGATGTGATTAGTGATAACTGATAAGCCATGCATTCCCTGCTTAATAAATTATTTAATATTTAAAATGATTATTAGGTCAACTAAAACAACTGGAAATAAATAAAATAAAAATTAATCAAATTTCGTGAAAATAGAAAGAATTTTTTTTTTTTTATATAAATTATAGTAATATGAGTGGTGCAAAAAGAAAGATTGGTGTAATAAATTGCCTGCTGAGCTGAGAAGCTGAAATATAACTTAATTATTAGTTAATATACTATCACTTTCTTCCTAATTATTACAAATTAAATAATTACGACTTTGGCCCAGCAGTTGGGATCTCAATTTTATTTAGGATCTCCACCATAATTTCCAATATATTTGATTGGTAAGATGATTTTGCTGAGCTTATTTTAAATACTTTATAAGTTTGTATTTTAGGTAAATTGTTTTAAGAACTGATTAATTGTTACATCTTAAAGAGCTTATAAGTTGTTTGCACTCATTATAAGATATTAGATAAAAATATTGCGACTTTATTTGTTTTCCAATAAAAATTAAGTTCTTTATCCAAATATTTTAAAAATTAATTTAAAAATAAGATATAACAATTTATCAACTCTCAATACATCTCATCAGATGTAACAGTTAATCAGTTTTTTAAAATAAGCTTTTAGACAAACCGGCCCTAAATACGGGCACAATCGTGGTTTTTTCACTTTCACGATTAGAGTGAAAATTAAAAGTTGACATTTTTTTATTTCATTTTTTAAAATTCACAAAGCTTGCTTAGACAGTAAGAGAAAAGGTCCAAGGGCAAAATTGGCATCAAAAGAAAAAAATAAATTAAATTAACAATTAAAAAGAATAATCCCAACTGCCCCAGGAAACATTACCTTGCATGATTGTGTATTAATTTTACTAATTTAAGCAGACAGCTCTATAATCCAACCATAACCCCTTTATTTAATTAATTTATTATAGAATAATATATGTTGTTTAACGCTTATATGCAAAAAGATCATTTTCAAAGAATCTTTCATGATAATTAACTCACTGTGATTCAATAATGGAACCCTCATTAAATTTAATTTAATTAAAAGGCTGCAAACACAGGAAAAAAAAATACCTATTTAAAATTTAAATCACAGAGAGAAAAAATAAAAAAATAAAAAAATAATTGATTTCACTAACCACCTCTAATCAAATGATTAATCTATCTTTAAGGGCATCTTTTTCATAAAAGAAGAGGAAGAAAAACTCCACTACTTAAGCTTTTCTTGTTCTTTATTTTTTTTTTAAATATTAGCACCATTTTTATTTTATTTTATTTTTTTAATTCTAGATTCGTTGGGCCTAGTCATAAACTCTTAGCCAACCTGGGATTCTTTATGTATATACGTATACACACACATGTGTGTGTGTATGTGTGTGAGAGAGAAAGAGTGACTGTTTCATGGTTAAAATTAACAGAAAAAAAAAATTAAGAACAGAAGCTTCTTTTAATTCAGGTTAATTAATCTGTAAAAATTGCCAGGGCCCTCCTCCTGGAATTGTGCCAGATATTATGATTGAATTACCAATAAAATTAAATAAAAAATTCAAAATTCAAAATAAATTAAGAGTCATTATCATTGTTATTAAGACTTGTTTTTTTCCCCTAAAGATGAAAGTGTCAGACAGCTGGTTACGACATAAGTAACTATCATAACCACCACAAAACACGATTTATTACAGTCTAGTATAATTGACCCAAACATTAATTTTGAATGTATTGACAAAAAAAATAAGATTTTTCCAATCTTTATTGATGTCAATAATTTTTCACTAATTTACACGCAATCACACACACAGTTGATATATATATGAATGCGTGCGTAACAAAATATACCCCGCGAAATTGACACAATGTGTAGTATAGAACAAATCGATGAAAAAAAAAAATTCATTTCATTTCTCAATTCTTTAACTAATCGAATATATATATCTTACATACTCTGTAGTACAAATAATTTGGTGCTTTCGACCAAAAAAAAGAAAATGGAAAATAGAATAAATTTAAGTACATAACTTTTGTAGCAATAAAGAAAACAACATTAAAAAAAATATATAAAAATTATTGGATTAGTACTAAATAAAATTCTCATTTATATACAGCAAGAGCCTTTTCTCGTTGTTCAGGGCCGGTCGGTCGGTCGGTCGGTCGGTCACCTTTCAACTTTCATGTTCGACGTTTGATTTTGGACTGTCGAGAAGTTGGCTGGATTCTGAGCAAAACCCATCTGAACAATGCTCTGGAGATCATCTTCACTAAATCCCGGGAACTGCGATTAAAAAAAATCAAGATTATTTTTATTTATTTATTTATTTATTATGATTGAAATTAAAGGATGTAAAGTAGTGTTTGTTACCTGAGGAAGAATATCATGAGTGAATCTGTCAAGACAAGGCAATTGAATTCCCAAGTTACGGCACAATGTGGCATGATCTATATGTATTATAGGCTCCACAGAAATTGTGCTATTATTGTTATTGTTATTATTATTACTAATATTATTATTATTTTGTAATTGTTGTACATTTTGATGAAACAATGGTGGTGAAGAGGAATCCAAAGGGTACATCTGCTGGGGCACACTTGTATTCTGTTGTACCATCTATAAAACATCATCAATAAATCATTTCTTGAAAAACAATTAAAATTAAAATAAATAAATAAATAAATAAAAAGAGGTTTATCTCACGCACATTATCTTTGGAGAGAAGAAGATTTTCCATGCTGAAATCCAGGCCTGGATTTACTGAGGACAACTTCATTGACAGGAACTGCAATTTAAAAAAAAAAAATTAGGTTAATTATCCGACACAGACAGCTTTTAATTGGTGTTTAATTTAATTAAAATTAGTTATAAGTTAATGTATACCTCGACCTGGCGCTGTAAAGACTGAACATAATTTATGATTTCATCAAGCATCAGTGCTTTTCCAGTAACCTGTTAATTAATTAATTACACCAAAATATTAAAATTAGTAATAATTATTTTCGAACAGAGATTTAATAATTAATGGCATATATTAACAGACCTTATTGCAACCTGGTACAAGATCCTGTAGTAGTTTCATTCTCTCACTGATTTTCTCTCGCCGGACCTAACACAAACAAATAAAATCAAAAAATAAATACACACTAGAATTCCATAAATTTTTAAAAAAAAAAAAAAAAAAAGGAAAATGGAAATACTCTTTCAGCAAGACTATGGCTGTCAGTGGCTTGTCCCCTTCTAGCTCTGACATGAATGTAGTCTTTTGGTGGTTCAGGTGGTTTTTGATCCTCCGTCGTCTTTTCTTTCGACTTTTCATCACCCTTATCTTCTTCTTCATCATCCTCGTCGTCTTTGTTCTGATGATCCTTTGTTCGCTTATTATTAGATGGATTAATGGATCGATCTTTTGTTCGCGAAAGGGATTTTCTCTTTCTAGAAGAATTCAGCTCGTTTGAGTTTTTTGATAATGTTTCCCCACTTGGGATTTGGTCTGAAACAGAGGATTCTTCGTTTGAGTTGTTGTTGTACTCCACTTGGGGTTGTTGTCTTATTAAACTAATCTTCTTCTTCTCCGCCGCCGCCGGAGGATTCAGACATGGGCTACTCGAAACTCGGTGCATATGCATATCTGCCGGAGGAGTGGCGGATCTGCCGCCGCCGCCGTCGTTCATCATCTCGAACGCCGCCGTTCTGCCGTTGAAGCTCCGGCTGCCGAAGCAGGAGAATTTCGCCGCCCTCTCCGCAAAACCCGGATCGCCGGAGAGAGAATGCAGCGGCGGCGGCGGAGGAGGAGGTGGAGTTGTGTTGTGAGCGCCGGAGAAGGGGGTCGCCGTCGCCGGGAAAGCGATGGAGCTCCCGATGCCGCCTCCGCCGAGTTTTCCGATCAGTTCGCGGAGGATGAAGGCTTCCGAGGCGGCGGCGGAGACGGCGGAGGACGGCATTGATTGAGCTGAAAGATGAATCGAAATGTGACGTCACTGAATTGGGGTCGATGAAAGATTGGTCGGAAGAAGTGCAGTTCATTCCACCACTCCACGGAGTTGGGATTCCACCACCACCATTCATGAAGTAATCTTTGTCCATTTTCAACAATTCAGATCAAGTTTTCTTCAACAGTATGCTTACATACATATATTTATAAATATATTTGTAGAGAGAGAGAGAGAGGGGTAGAGAGAGAGAATGAAATTGATAGAGAAATTAAAGGGAAAAGGGGAAAGGGGGAAGGAAAAAGGAAGGGTGGTGATGAAGTTATATAGTAAATAAAGAGTGTTGCTATTTTGACCTTTTCTATATTATATAATATTCTACTGCAAAAATAATACACACACACACTCACATAATATGTATATTGTATGTATATGTGTATGTATATGTGAGCAGCGTTGCCGTTAAAAGCGGTGGAGGAAAGGGGGTTAATTGCCGGGCCTTGGACGTCAAACCACCCAAATTATCCCACCTCTCTTTCTTGAAATTAGTAATTTACCACCTTTTTCTTTTTTGCTAATTTTATTAAAGATTGCACTTTTACATGCAATTTATTTTGTCCCTAAACAAAATTAATGTAACTTTGGGACAAGATAAAATGTGTTAATGGAGGGTTTTGTAAGGAAAGACAAATTTTCTTGTTTGTTTTGTGTTTATGGTGTGTGTGTGTGTGAGTGATGGAATGAATTGTGTATTAACATCTTAAGATTCGCAATTTATAGGCAATTAGTCAAGACTTTTTTTGTGTGTGTATTTGTTAATGAAACTTGCACACTTAAGAGTCTTGAAGCTTCATTTTATTTTATTTTTATTTAATTCAAAGAGTCTCTTTCTCAAAGATTTCAATTTTGTCTTCATATTTTTTAAATAATTGGTTTTCAGAAGTCACGACAAATAGTAAGTAGGACCTTAGGCACTACTAATTGTACAAAAATCAATTGGTTTCAGAAAAAGACGTAAATTCTAGTCTTATAGTGTATTCAACACACATAAGCATTCACAACATTCGATTGTGGATCGGCTATACCCAAGCCTTCCCACATGGACAATTATTGCTAAGCACAGACTGATGTATATATTTATATACTTTGCCAGTTAAGAAAACTTATATAGTTTTGTTGATAAAAAAATGCCCTCTAATTTTAGGACAATGAGGAGTGGGGATGTGGCAATCAAAATCACCAAAGGAAATCATATGGAGTACCTAATTAAAATATCTAAAATTTTCTAACTAATTCTTCCTATTTTCATTTTTTCTACAATTTTCCAAGAAATTAGGGTTTTAGGATATCCTCGATACAAATATACATGATTGAAGATAGATATCTATCAACATTTTTAAATTAATTAAATTCACCTCGTTTTAAGAGAATTTCATAGAAAAATCCATAATTATTTATTTGCCCATTCTTGTGAAAATTAAAAATGTTGAAATAAATTATTTGAATAATACATGTAACAAACCTACTTGTACTGTTTTGAGGAAATAGTAAATTCCATGATATCATAGTTGATGCCATGCTTACATACCCCCCCTCGCCCCCACCCCACAAAGGGAGTTGCTAGAAATGAAGAATTATTTTGGGAATTCGAGATTTTTTATAATAAATTAATTTATATTAATTTATTCATAAAAAGAATATTTATTTAGCAACTGGCCCTGCAGAAAATTGGGCCTCGAAATTCACATAATTTTGCAGCTTCTCATTCGGCCAAAGCCCACTAATTTTTTGAGTGGTCCTTTTTGCAATTTTATATTTCTCAATGATTGGAGTCAAAGCACAAGTTGTCTCTGTGGGGTTAAAGTCAAATGAGGTTAAAAAATAAAATAATAATTCATCTGACGGTTAATATTTATTTGAGTTTACTTTTCTTGTGTGGCTGAGATGAATCAGTAGTTTATTTAGATAACGTGTTTTGAGCAGGTCAATGATTGCATTAAAATTCCAACCTCTGCCGGTAAAATCGGGTTTTGTCGGATTCCCATGGTAATAATATAAACGTTTTACTCGCCTGTGTTTTCCTAGAGCCAATAGCTGTGTTTGTTACCATTAATTCATTTTCGGTAGATATAGTTTACTATTTAATATCCTTATTATAATTATTCTCCTTATTAATATTGATTCTTTTCCTTATTTTTATATAAAAAAAAATTAATTTTTATTATTAATAATTAATGCTTAGAAGCAAAAAATAATAAATTAAAAGGAAATTACCAAATAAAAAGGTTCCAAGTTCAAATTCCACGTACACTCATTTCAAATATTTGAAGTGCTAGACTTCCAATTTAATTTATCTGTACTGAGGAAAACGTATTGAAAATATAGATATTAAATAGTATCAGGAATCTATTTTAAGATCCTCTTGAATCATTATGTCGTATTATAACTAAAAATCAAAGAGAGGTGCACTTTTATTTTTTTATTTTTTTTTCAATTTGAATAATTTTATTATTTTTTTTCCCTAGAGATTTATTTATATCAACTAGTTCATTGTCATATACATCATTGGCAATATATTTCGATTAACTCATAAGTAGCCAATAATTGATTATTTGGCTTCTCTTCACCAAAACAAATAATGAAATTGGTCATTAATTAATAGTATCTCCCATCGATCACCAAATACTATATTTATCATCTAATTTAGGTGTTTTTTTTGTCTCCCGACTTAAATCTTTAAATCATCAGTGCACTTAAATTATAGTTATTGAGTTTAGTCTCCCACCATGTTCAAACTCTATATTATTATATCCCTAAATCCTAGATCTTCACCAAATTTTTTGGTGAAGAAATTTTCATCTCCACCCTTCCACCATTTTACAATTTTTTTCCACCAAATCCTATTTTTTCTATCAAATATAGAAGTGAAAATAGGATTTGGTGTCATTAACACCATTTTATAATTACCATATAAAATTATTATACTAACTAATTTCATGTGATTACCAATGAAATAATTTTTTTAGATAAAAAATGTTGTAATGTTTTTATGATTAATTTATGTTGTAACATTTTGAGGCAATAATTTATGAAATTACTGTTTATGTGTGATTTTATTATATGTATAAGGGCAAATTACGGCCAGTCCAATGAGGTATGGTGAAATTACGAAAAAAAAAACTCTCTTATTTGGGTAATTACAGTCACTCCTCCTTTTAAATATTTTTACATAAAATTAATGTATTTCAGTTATTTATCGAACCAAATCGTATATTATGTTCGATAAACAGTATGAAATGTTGGCGTATTGAAATTTTGGTGTGGTTTTACCGATTTAACATCCCTAAATTTACCTATGGAAGGGTATTTCATAATTACCCAAACAGGAGGGGGTGTTCGTATTTTGACCATAATACACTATTTTGTCACTAAAAATAGAGAAATTATATACTGGTGTGCCATAAGTGGGAGATAACACCATTTTTTCACCACAAAAAATAGCTTTTGGTGAGAAAATTGTAGTAAAGGTGGGAGATGCTCTAAATAGCATATTTAAACTTTAATAAACCTAATAAATATACAAATCAACATCGTTAGTGAAAAGGAAATCTTTGTTAGCTCAATGATTTCCTGACATAGCATGCATTGAACTTCACCAAAACAATGCTAATCAGAAGATTAACAATATCATTAATTTATACACTAATAAAACAACAAAGTTTCTTTTAATTAAGAAAGCTGTTTCAATAATTAACCATATATATAATATTTGTATTAAGATTAGGAATAAACTAATTAAATCTGTAGCTGGTTTTGGAATGGTGTGCCCATGCAGAGGACCTGAAAATAGATGGGCCAAATTAAGGGATTAATCAAAAGTACCAGGTTGCAGCATATTTCTAATAATAATTAAGCTAATTTGATTTGTAATTAAAAGAAATAAGGTATTAATTAATTGCAATTTGTCACAGATTCGTTACACCTAGACATGTACTTCTGAGTTCTGACAACTATATTTTAAGGGAAATAAATATTTAGGTCAGAGAAAAATGATTGATCACTCATAGCAAAACAATGAGAGGGGGGGAAATAATATTATAAATTTATTAATTGTTTTTCTTGATTGTATACAAGTTATAAACTAAGCTATATTTTCTTAGAATTAACAACTTTTGTAATTTACATAAGTATTAATTAAAAATAAACATTATTGACAGCAGAAAAGTCTGGAAAATAAAATTGAAACAGGCGGTGGCGGTAGCTAATAATTTGGACTTAGGTTGTAGGAGAAAATTCAACTTGGCAAAATTTATGGCATGTCTGAGCCGGCGTGGTGCAATAAATTTATTTTCCAAAAAAAAAAAATATAATACAAAAATTAAAAAATATATATAAAATTGTTTTTTTCTTGGATTTATGATGCATCAACAATCTTTGCCAACCCTCGTGAATTAAACCCATCCATAGTCAATTTCTTCACATTGACCATTTTTTTTTCTAAATCCTAGCTGATTGATCAATAAACAAATTTAAAAAAAATCGGTGTAAGTGGAAATACCGTATTTATGCGTGTAACTAAGGTGTAAATGAGTCGAACTTGCTCGAATTGAATTATTTGAACTCAAATTCAACATTAAAAGGACGGTGATCATAGATATTAATACTCAATACGTAGGATATCTGTTTAAAAAATAAAAATAAAAAATGTCGATGCATTTCTAGAATATTAAAACGTGTGTATGATTTTTGTTTTAGGCATTGATTGAATTTGGTGTGAACGAATGGAACAATTCATAATATTAATATTGGTCAAAATGGGACCAATATTCATGAATTAACAGCTACTTGCAAAATTTATACAACTTTGCACTGCTGACTAGGCAACCGTCAAATTCGTTACCCAATTAACGCCGACGAAATTGCATGATAGTATTTCAGTCGATATATAGTTCATTTGGTAAAAAGTAAAAGTAAAAAATTCAGAGCAAAATATTTATTCACCACCCGAATCCCATACTAGCGTCTGAGCCACTTTCTGAACCGGCGGTTCATAGCTATAATATTATTTTATTTTCTCTAAGTTAAATCCTTGGGCAAAATACAAACCCTGAGATATGGTCAATTTACGAAAAAATCTTTCTTGTTTGGATAATTACATATTACCTTGAACCATGTTTTTTTCTTACACATTCATCCTTAGAGCAACTCCAATGGGGTTATCAAACATGGTATCCAAACCATTAACCACTATTATATACCAAAAAATAGAATTTTTTAACTCCAATG